TCTTAAGGAACTGCCAAATTGTTCACAGCACCTGCACCATTTTACTTACCCATCAGCAATGCACAAGGATTCCAGTTTCCCCACATTCTCACCAACCTTTATTTTCTATTTTGTAAAGAAAATCCTTTACAGGGGATATGAACTAGTATCTCATTGTTGGTTTGATTTGCATTTTCCTAATGACTAATGAACTTGAGCATCTTTAATATGATTGTTGACTATTTGTGTATTTTCTTTGGAGAAATGTCTATTCAACCCCTTTGCCCATTTTTTAGTAGGTGTGTTTGGGTTATCTTTAATTTAATTAAATTAATTAATTAATATTTTGGCTGTGTTGGGTCTTCGTTGCTGCGCACGGGCTTTCTCTAGTTGCGGCGTGTATGGTCTTCTCATTGTAGTGATTTTTGAAATCTCATTGCGGTGGCCTCTTCTTGTGGAACACAGGCTCTAGGCGCGTGGGCTTCAGTAGTTGTGCCATGCGGGCTCAGTAGTTATGGCTTGCAGGCTCTAGAGTGCAGCCTCAGTAGTTGTGGTGCACGGGCTTAGTTGCTCTGTGGCATGTGGGATCTTCCCGGACCAGGGATCAAACCCCTGTCCCCTGTGTTGGCAGGCAGATTCTTAACCACTGTGCCACCAAGGAAGTCCCTGGGGTTCTTTTTTCTGTTGGGTCGTAAGAGATGTTTGTATATTCTAGACCCTTATCAGATATTTGATTTGCAAATATTTTCTCCCATCTGTGGCTTGTCTTTTCACTCATGTCATGGTATCCTTTGTGCAAAAAGCTTTTATCTTGCTAATGTCCAATTTATCTATTTTTTTCTTTTGACATTTATCCTTCTGGTGTCATATCTAAATCCAAGGTCATTAAGCTTTATTCTTTTGTTTTCCTCTAAAAATTACATGGTTTTAGCTCTTATTAGGTCTCTGATCCCTTTTTGTTCATTTTTGGTATACAGTTGACCCTTAAACAACATGGGTTTGAACTGTGTGGGTCTGTTTATACTTGGACTTTTTTCAGTAAATACATAGTATAGTACTGTACAATTCACAGTTGGTTAAATTCACAGATGCAGAACTTCAGATATGGAGGGCCAACTGTAAAGCTGTATGTGAATTTTCCACTGTGCAGAGAGTTGGTGCCATTAACTCCTGTGTTGTTCAAGGGTCAACCATATATTATGAGGTAGGGGTGCATTTTAATTGTTTTGTATGTGGCTATTCAATTGTCCCTGCACCATTTGTTGAAGAGACTTCATTCCCCATTGAATGCTTTTGGAACCCTTGTTGAAAATTATGTGGTCAGAGATGTATGAGTTTATTTCTGGACTCTCAATTCTATTTTGTTGATCTACATGTCTATCCTTATGTCAGTACCACATTCTTTCGTACACCTCAGCTTTGTAGTGAATTTTGAAATTATGAAGAACGAGCTGCTTTCCCTGCATCCTATAAGGTTTTTTTTTTTTTTTTTTGCATGACGTGGGGCTCTCACTGTTGTGGCCTCTCCCGTTGCGGAGCACAGGCTCCGGACGCGCAGGCTCAGCAGCCACGGCTCACGGGCCCAGCCGCTCCGCGGCATGTGGGATCTTCGCAGACCGGGGTTCGTGCCCCGTGTCCCCTGCATCGGCAGGCAGACTCTCAACCACTGCGCCACCAGGGAAGCCCCATCTTATAAGTTTTGATATATTGTGTTTATCTGTCATCACCCCCTTGAGTTAATTATTTTATTTAGTTCTTCAGTATTTTATTTCTATCATTAAAACACAGATACACAAAATTGTAATAGTATTATTATTATTTATACAGACAGTGTTTATTTAGGTTTTTCATAGAGTTATTAATTTATTTGCTTACCATTTTTCTAGCATCTCAGGACTTCCTTCTGGTATCATTTTTATTTTCTACTTCTTTAGGAATTGCTTTTGTGTAAGATCTGTTCATTATAAACTCAATTTTTTAATCTTAAAAATGTCTTTCTCTCACCCTCTTGTGAAAAAGTAGCTTTGAGCATATACAATTGTATACTGAAAGTTACTTTTTTATTATTCTTGTGACTTCTATGGCCATTGTTGCTATTGAATAGTCTGATGTATATCTAATGTTAATACTCTGTAGGTGATCGTATCTCTCTGGCTGCATTTTAGATTTTTTTTGTTTTTCTTTAGAATTTTGTACTTTGCTACATTTGGTATGGATTTCTTTTGATTTATCTTGGTACATTGTGTGCTTCCTTTATCTGTAGATTCATGTCTTTAGTTTTGAAAAATGGTCAGCCATTATCATCACATATTGTCTCTCGTCCATTTTTTCTTTTTATTCTTCTGAGACTCCAATTATAGGTATGCTATACTTTCTTATTCTATTTTCCTAGTTTGAAGTGTGTTCTTTGTATTTTTTAATATTCTGTTTTACTTATGATGCATTCTGGGTAATTTTTATTTATTTATTTATTTATTTATTTATTTATTTATTTATTTATTTTGCGGTACGCAGGCCTCTCACTGTTGTGGCCTCTCCCATTGCGGAGCACAGGCTCTGGACGCGCGGGCTCAGCGGCCACGGCTCAGGGGCCTAGCCGCTCTGTGGCATATGGGATCTTCCCGGATGGGGGCATGAACCCATGTCCCCTGCATCGGCAGGCGGACTCTCAACCACTGCGCCACCAGGGAAGCCCTGGGTAATTTTTAAAGCCTGTCTTCTAATTTAGTAATTCTTTCTTCTGCCTCTAACTTTCTACTTAATTTATCCATTGACTTTTTAATTTCAGCAGTTACATTTTTCATTGCTGAAAGTTCTGTTTGGTTCTCGTTCAGATGAAACTTTTGATAGTCTCTTGTTGCTTCCTTATTCCTGTGACTCATTCTTTTATTTCTTTGAATATTAAATAATTATTTTATATTCAGTATTACATGGTTCCAATATTTGAAGTTTTTAGGGGGTGTCTAAATCTGCTGGCTCCTTCTTATGGCACTCTTTGATTGTAAGCTTATATTTGATTGATCTTAATGTGAAAGGAAATTAAAGTCTTAACTGTGTTTGTGTTCCTCCAAATAATAACTGCATTTGCTCTCACCAGAAGCCAGGGTACATTATTGGCTTACCAGGATCTTTCAGGTTCTTAGTCTTACCTTGGGAGTTTTAAGTTCTCCTCCCCTACCAGCTGTTTGTCCAAGCCCATTTCCCAGCCACAGTGTTTATTAGCAGCACTGCCCTTGAAATTTTCCTCTTTGCTTGTGCTCATCACTTAGGTTTTAGATCACAGCTTTTGCTTTATTTTGGGGAGTGGGGGGTGGGCAGAGTGCGAGAGGGCAGGGAGTGGCCTCTCATTTTTGTTACTTCCTATAGTAGCTCCCAGCCACGAAATACTTTGTTTTAGATCAACTTTCTATTGTTTGTTTTCTAGCAAGAGAGCCTTCTACAGTGTCTAATCTGCTGTATTGCCATTAGTAAAACTTCCTTTCTATTTTTTAAACCCCTTCTATAAAATATTAATCTTAAGTAATATATGTATAGTATAAAAAATACAAAACAGAACAGAAATTTATAAACTAAAATTGCTCTTACTTTTATAGCCCTAGAGGTAACTACAGGTTTTTGGAATTTTTGTAATACATTAAATTAGAATACAAGTGATAATTTAAAATCTTTAAGGAGAAGCAATTTTAAGATATTTTATAGTTATATATTAAAAATAAGACTGATTTTACAGCATCTTACAATTTATATTTGAGTAGAATTATTTATAATATCTTAAAGATATGAAATAGCAAACCTTGCAGATTTTCTGAAATGGTTAATTTTACAAATATATGTTGATGCTATCACAGAAAAATAAGTTTTCATTGTATCCAAATACATATACTAAATAAGTCTTAAATACAGGTGTAAATGTAAATTAGGGTTTAGAGTGATGGAATTATTGTGTATCCTGATTGTGATGACAGTTATCTGTGTTAAAATTCATAGAGCTATACATCAAAAAAAGAGTTCAATTAATGCATGTAAATTTAAAAATAAAATTTTAAAGATTTTTAAAAAAGAATTTATGCTGTCTTTCGAAAAATAAAATTATAGGGTTGGGTTCTTAAAAAAGATTCTATGAAGTTTATTTTATATTATAAATTTTTCAGTGGTGTTCTTCAGCAGTTTCATTTTGACTTTATTCCAATTTTGAGTCATAAAACATCATTCTTTTTAGATCATACAGAATCCATTAGTCACTATACTATACTAGGCCAGGGTTTCTGAACCTCAGCACCATTGACATCTTTATGTGGGGGCTGTCCTGTACATTGCAAGGTGTTTAGCAGTTCCCCTGACTTCTGCTCATTAGATACCAGTAGCACCCCCTCCAGTTGTGACAACCAAAAAAGTTTCTAGACATTGCCCAGTATCCCCAGGCGATTAGGGGGTGTTGGGGGTATGTGTGGGGGCAAAATCACCACCAGTGGAAAATGACTGTACTAGGCCTACGTGGCTCAACCTTTATAGAATACATATTTCTTCATTTTCAAAGCTTGTCATGCTAATATTAAGTGGTATAATTGTATGTTATGGTAAGCGTTGTGTGTATATAATCTCCTCCTGTACCAAGAGATCTCTTTTAAAATTATCTAATGCTATGATAGGGCACACCTCATAAAATTAAAAGCTTTTATTTAGATTACATCTTTTTAAAATGAGAATTTTAGAAGAATTTGAAAGGGTGTAACAACAGTACCTGTCACATAGCAGCAACCTTAATAAACCAGTACATGAGTGCAATTAAGGATAGGGTGAGGAAACTACATAACACTAATTTTTGCTCTGTCTTGAATTTATTCTGGTGCCTTTGCAAATTATTTAACAAGAATGTTCATTTTATTGATCTTTTAGGGTGTAGATGATTTAACCTAAATTGTATAGGGTAACACAGTAGGGGAGATGAGAAATTTATTTAAGACAAACATTCTATTAAAATGTTAAGTGCTTTAGTTGATCAGATATTTAAAATCTTTCAGGTATTAAATAATAGAAGAAAATGGAATTGAATATGATACCAGCATGGAACAATCTGTTGATTCATTAAGAGTCAACCATAATGATTCCGAAGAGTCAAAAACCGATTCTCAGGTATTTGAAGTAGGGATTCAACTGGGAACTTTTTTCCATTTAAAGGGAAAGTGGCATGCAATTGGATTTTTTATGTTTAAGGAATAGTGTTATATTTAATGTATTCAAGAATTTTAACATTTAATTTTTAATAATTCTATCATATTTAATTTTATAATATAGAGCTTTAATGTATTTGTGAAAGTTTATATGTAAAGAAAAATCTGCATATTGAATTATAAATATTTCATCATTTCACATTATATTCCTGTGGACAATTTGAAATAAAAACAGTTTCACTTAAGAACTTCTGTCTATATCAGTCTGTGAATTGATAACCCTTGCAAAAAGTAAAGTGAATAATTAACTGAAAAATGAATGTCTCCATCTTTTATTAAAAACATTCTATTTTTTAAAAATTGTAACTTATTTTACAAACACTCAAGTGATTTTTTTTTTTCTTTGCAAAAGCATCTAAGCTGTATGGACTCCAGTGAGCCTTCTTTTGGACAAGATGGTTCCCCTAGAGTTTTACCCATTACTACTGCAGTGGATAATTCATTCACATCACAGAATATACCAGGGCCCCTGACTCAGACACAGACTCTTTCTGCAGAGCAATTCCATCTAGTGGACCAAAATGGGCAACCTGTTCAATATGAGCTTCAGTCATTGGGGGATTCTAATGAGCAAATGGTGAGTACGTTTTTAAAATAACCAGTTTTCTGCTATTTAGCAAAATGTATTAGTCTTACTAGATGACCTTAATTTCTTGACACTATTGCTTTACATTGCTTTGAAAATACTGTTTCCATGACATTCATTTTTAAGTTATATAGGATTTTAAAAGATTTCCATTCAGGACTACAGAGTACTTCAAACGAGTACGTCCCAGCTACTATGTCTAGGCAAACTGGTACTTTGAGATCAGTTGGAAATGTAACATAATCTGTCACTAGTGCTAAAGTCCCAGAGCTTACATATAACTTACATTTATTTTTTGTATATACATTTGACTGAACTCGCTGTTGTTTGCTCTATCAACATCTCAGTTACTGATTTGTGTGCCACATGCTGGTATGCTTTCTTGAAGAAAAAGAAAGCAAGGGAAGTACCAGTGGAGTAATGGAATTTAGACATACCCTTACTGATCTTTGTAAGTAGATATGTAGGTGTCATGTGAATAACAATGCATAAAGTTTAAAGTGCTGCTTTAAACTGTTAGCCAAAAATATGTACGACCAAGTTCACAGTTGACTAGATGTGGTGATAGATGGTTTTGATTCAAATAAAATTAATGAGAAAAAGTTGTAAATTGCTCTCTAATAATATATTTATATCAGTAATAATAAGAATAATGTATCTCTTTGCCTGTATTTTCCAAATTTTCTACAAATTTTAATTCAATAATAAAAATTATTTTTAAAATCATAACTTCAATTATAAATTATACTTAAGTAGGCAACCATTTAACCCCAAATTCTTGTTTTTGTTTCTAGTCTAGAGCATTCTAGAGTTAATCTATGTCCTTTTGCTCCCTTATAATCTAGCTAAATTTTGGCATTGAGAGTAATTGGTTGAGAGGTGGCTAACTGTAGACAACTTATTTGTGTGTATGTTCAGGCTCAACATATTTCTGGGCTTACTTCAGGACTGAAATGCAAAGTTAGGGTAAGCTTCTGTAATCATACTGCATCACCAGCAGAGGTTAATATGCAACAGATAATCTAGATGTGAACCAATACATTTTAATATTTCATGTTCAAAATGAAATACTTCTGTAATTTCCCCTCTTATTTGACATTTATTCTAGTTTCTATCAGAACATTTAGAAAGTCTGTGTGTTCTAATGGAAGGATAAAAGAGTCTAAATGTATGAAGGGTTATCATTTTACACATGGTACCTTTCCTAAAAAGCATGTTAAAGTTGCTTATTTGTCTGGGTCTGAAAAAAGTTGGAGTTCCCATTCTCTTTGTAATTGTATTAAACGTTCTATCTGAAGTGATTATAAAGGTGATTTTACATTGTTTGCGGTAGGAGATGATACAGAGGGTTGCTTGAAGTTGTGAAATAGGAAACATGTGGCATGAGCATGAAAATAAATGTAAGGAACATGGAGTGTTAGAAGCTATCTTCTCCAAAGAACCAAAGATCAGAAGGTGGTGATATTCTGGGAAACTTAGTGGAGCTTTTTTGTTTTTATTGTTTATTTTAATAGACTTTAATTTTAAGAGCAGTTTTAGGTTCACAGCAAAATGAGAAGAAAATACAGAGAGTTCCCATATACCCCCAGCCTCCATATATACATAGTCTTCCCATTATCAAAGTCTCCACCAAGCGGAGCTTTTTGTGAAAAATGACTTTTTTGTTTGTTTGTTTTGAAGTATGATTTTTTTCACTTAGAAGTTTTCACGGAACTAGTAAAGATTCTGTAGTGGGTGAATCTGCAGTGGATGAGAGGAGGTTTTGGAGTGAAGCAGGGATGATATTTTTCATTTACTAGAAATATTGTACACAAAGAGCCCAGTAAATATAAAACTACTCATTAGCCAAGATTTTCTGGTGATTTTCATGGTCGGCCTCAAAGAAAATGTATTGCAGCAGATGACTCTTCAAAACTATGTTTATTTTCATAGCAAAGATTAAAGATAATTACTTTTTTTGGTAATAGAAAAAGTAGTATTATCATCACCATTGTCAAATTATATGAATTAAAAATAGGTTTTTAGGTAACAGGTGGAATAAGCTAAGGAAACAGAAAATGGAGGAGATGCTTTTCCACTGTGCTTGGGAAACAGTTTCAAAATTAAGGGGATATTCCACAGATCAGTCTTAATTATGAAATTTTCATATGATTGAATAAATTATAACTTTATTATATGTGTTTTATTTGGATTTAAAAATAACCACAGCACTCTTATTTTCTAAGAATGAATGAAAAATTTTCACACATTTAATCTCATTTACAGGGAGTAAAGAATTAACAACAGTATTATTACTATTGCCTTTTAAAGTCCAGTAGGGTTTTTGTATTGTTTTATTTTTGTCTTTTTTTTAGGTTAAGTAACATCATCAGATATTGGGGGACAATACAAAGTAGTGGTTAAAAGGAGTCAGACTGCTTGGGTTTGAATTTCAGCTCAGGACTATATAGCTCTGAGTTACCTTGAATGAGTTTTGTAACCACTGTGTTGCAATTTCCTCATGTATAGAATGTATATAGTTCGTATACATGTCATGAAGATTAAATAACGTAATATTGGGTTGGCCAAAAAGTGCCTTTGGTTTTTAAGTAAAAATAAAAGACACATTTTTCATTTTCACCAAGAACTTTATTGAACAATGTATTCACCCTTTTGTTCCACTATTTTCTGCCATTTTTCAGGCAACTTCATAATTCCATCTTCCCAAAACTTTTTATCTTTTCGAGCAAAGAACTCTTGCAGGTGCCTTTTACAGTCTTCCAGGAAATTGAAATTTTTTCAATTAAGAGAATTTTGTAAAGATCTAAATAAATGGAAATCCGAAGGTGCAATGTCTGGTGAATATGGTGGATGAATCAGAACTTCCCAGCTAAGCTGTAACAGTTTTTGCCTGGTCATCAAAGAAACATGCAGCCATGCGTTATCCTGATGGAAGATTATGCATTTTCTGTTGACTAATTCCGTATGCTTTTCGTCAGGTGCTGCTTTCAGTTGGTCTAACTGGGAGCAGTACTTGTTGGAATTAATCATTTGGTTTTCCAGAAGGAGCTCGTAATAGAGGACTCCCTTCCAATCCCACCATATACACAACCTCACCTTCTTTGGATGAAGACCGGCCTTTGGTGTGGTTGGTGGTGGTTCATTTCGCTTGCCCCACAATCTCTTCTGTTCCACATTATTGTACAGTATCCACTTTACATTGCCTGTCACAATTTGTTTTAAAAATGGAACGTTTTCATTACGTTTAAATAGGGAATCGCATGTGGGAATACGGTCAAGAAGGTTTTTTTTGCTTAATTTATGTGGAACCCAAACATCAAAGCGATTCACATAACCAAGCTGGCGCAAATGGTTTTCAACACTTGATTTGGATATTATGAGTATGTCGGCTATCTCCTGCATGGTATAACGTTGATTATTCTCAATGTCTCGATTTGATCGCTATCAACTTCAACTGGTCTGCCTGACCGTGGAGCATCATCCAGCGAGAAATCTCCAGCACGAAACTTCGCAAACCACTTTTGACACATTCAGTCAGACACAGCACCTTCTCCATGCCACTGCACAAATCTTTTTTTGCGTTTCAGTTGCATTTTTACCTTTCTTGAAATAATAAGTGCATAATATGCCAAAAATGTTGTTTTTTTTCTTCCATCTTCAGTATTAAAATGGCTACACAAAAATTCACCGATTTTGGGACTTCCCTGGCAGCGCAGCGGTTAAGACTCCGAGATCCCATTGCAGGGGGCCCGGGTTCCATCCCTGGTCAGGGAACTAGATCCTACATGCACGAAGCAACTAAGAGGTCACATTCTGCAACTAAGGTGCCCACTGGCCACAACTGAGGAGCCCACGTGCTGCAACTAAGGAGCCCACCTGCAGCAACTAGAACCTGGCGCAACCAAAAAAAAAAAAAAGAATGATGCCAATAAACATCTATAAAAAAATTCACCAGTTTTGATGTCTTTTTTTAAATGCACACTGATATGACAGCTGTCACATAAAATCTAACAAAATTGTTTTGAATGAAGTTAAAGTCAACTAAGTGCTACTAGAGCCATCTTACAGAAAAAACCAAACGAACCTTTTGGTCAACCCAATGCATGTAAAGTCCTGCTGCTTAGTATGAACTCCACAAATGAAAAGGAATTATCATCCACAGAGTTTACAGTTGATTTTCATGCTGAAGTAATAAGAGGTATAAGAGATATGGCAAGATATTTTTATCTCAAGAAACTTGACAAACACTGAGGGAAGGAAAAAATTTCTACTCTTAATTTCTGGGAAATGTTTATGATTATATTTAAAGCTTTCTGTTTTGTTGAGGTTTAAGGGTGGTTTTTTTTTTTCCAAATTTAAAGTTTTTCAAATGACCCTCTCTAAAAGTGATGCCGTCTCTATCAGGCCATCAGTAAAGTTTTCATGTTTTACATAGCAAAAGGGAAGTTTGAGAAAGTGGGTTGGAATGATTAAGGACAGTTATTTGCCCTAGGGAAAACTGAGGACAGGGGATTTCAGGTAAAACAGTAAAACTGTTAGTAGAAGAGTAGTTTTTAGGTAATAAAGTTTATAAGGTATCCAGAAAGTCTGGAAATATAGGATAAACTTAATTTTAAATAATATATTAGTTATATTTTTAAATGATAGGCTCAAAATGTTTTTCTTCAACTTTAGATGCTTTCTTAGTTGACATTCCTCTAAATTTGAGGCAAGGAGTTCATTTGTTAAACTGAACAAAACAAACAAAAACACCAAAGGAAATAATAAATATACAATTCCCCTATGTTTTCAGACTTTTGGGTCACTCTGTAGTATTTCTTATAGAACGAGACAGGATATATAAAAATGCAGAGATATAAAAATAAATTCTGCTTTATTAGACATCTAAGTTACTGTTTTTAAATGAAAATGACTTAAAATATGAGACCAGTGATTATGACACAAATAAGTCAAACGTGTGGATAATACAGTAAGTAGAAAAAAGTAAATATATTTAGTGTAGTCAGAGACTTACTTGTTCAGGTTACTAAGTAATTAGACCTCACGTCCATGTAATGATTAAGATCATAGGTGGTTAAGATCATAGGACATAGGATCAAACTGCCTGTTTTGAATCCTAGCTTTACCACTTATCAATTGTGAGACATTTGGAAAATATTTTTAGGTACCTCAGTGTTTTCATCTATAAAGTGAAGAAAATGATAGTATCTGCTGTAGAGGTAGGCATGTCTACTAATTTTTTAAGTAATGATTCTTTTGAATCATTGTAGACTTATGCATTTGATTTTTTTAAAATGCCTCCAAGATGATTGTTGCCAGCCCATCAGAAAATGGACAGGTGCTGCGTGTAATTCCATCTACCCAGACAGGAACGACACAAGTGATTGTACCTCAGGGGCAGCTTGTGGATGTGAATAGTCCTCAGGGTGAGTAATCATGGGATATAGGGGATTTAAGAACGTTGTAAAGAACAAACGTATATTCAGAAAAATCACCTCATGAAAGTCAGTGCTAAAATTGATCTCTTTGGGTAAGATTGTGAACTGAATGATTAGAAAAAGTTTCTTAGCCCAAATAAATTTCAAGTTCATTTTTCAACTCCTGTCTAGGTTAGCTGTCTATTTCATTTTGGAATTCTGTGAAGCTGGTTGACTCTTGCTTCCTCCCAAATGACCAGTGAGCATAAAATAAATTCTTCTTAATTTTAATAACAGTAATAATGACAGCAATAATAACAAGAATATGGTGCTAATAGCTACTGGAGAAATTTTTATTTTATATTTTTATCAATGTTGTTAGACATGTGACACTTTTTTTTTTTAACTATTATTCTCATCCTCTTTGCTTTTTTCCTCTTTGTTCCTTCAGATTCAGAAAGAATCATGCTCATTTTTTAAAAATAAATTTATTTATTTTAATTAATTTATTTTTTGGCTGCATTGGGTCTTCGTTGCTGTGCGTGGGCTTTCTCTAGTTGTGGCGAGCGGGGGGCTGCTCTTCATTGTGGTGCACGGGCTTCTCATTGTGGTGGCTTCTCTTGTTGTGGAACATGGGCTCTAGGCTTGTGGGCTTAGTAGTTGTGGCTCATGGGCTCTAGAGCACAGGCTTAGTTGCTCTGCGGCATGTGGGATCTTCCTGGACCAGGGTTCGAACCCATGTCCCCTGCATTGGCAGGCGGATTCTTAACCTCTGCACCACCAGGGAAGTCCGTATTTATTTATTTTTTATTTTCGTACGCATTGGGTCTTAGTTGCTGTGCGCGGGCTTTCTCTAGTTGCAGCGAGCGGGGGCTACTCTTCGTTGTGCTGTGCGGGCTTCTCATTTCGGTGGCTTCTTTTGTTGCAGAGCATGGGCTCTAGGCGTGCGGGCTTCAGTAGTTGTGGCATGGGGGCTCAGTAGTTGTGGCTCATGGGCTCTAGCGTGCAGGCTCAGTAGTTGTGGCACATGGGCTTAGTTGTTCCGTGGCATGTGGGATCTTCCTGGACCAGGGCTCGAACCCGTGCACCACCAGGGAAGTCCCCCTATTTCTTTTTATTTTATTCTTTTTCTGCCTATTTGATATTATCCCTATTCGTTTGTTTCCTTTTTCTTCCCTTCCTTTTCCATGTCTTTGAATCTCTTTTCTTACATCATAGCTACACTGTTGTCATTTTTTCATAGATAATGGTTTAGGGCAAATAATTCTTACTTTAGTGTTATGATTCTTTGTCTTTGATAACAGTTGTTACAACTTAAGGAAAAGAAAACATAGTTTGCAGAAAACATTACAAACATGGTATAGAAACTAAAAGAATTAGTCTTAACATTTTCCTATTATATTGTGATACTATTAATATAACAATTACTTCTACCACTTTTATATCCTAGCTGTTCAACATAAGTTCCAAAACTTAGTTACAAAACTTTAGTAGTCAGTATTACAGTTTAAAAGTAAACAAGTTTATCAGAGAAATTCTCAATAAAGTATAAGTTTTATTATCTTTAGCTTCAGAGTATATCTTTCCTATTTCAAATGTATTAGTTCCAGTTCATTACATTCTTGTGGTCTTATTCAAGATATTGATGTTGCTTTGTTCTTGTTCTTATTGTTAAGATGTCTCTGAAGAGAAACCCAGTGACGGAAACTTACCAACTGTAAGAGTGGATTCTCTAGCAGACAATAACAGTAGTTACATTCTTCATCCACATGCATCCCTCACATTGCCCAAAAAGACAGTGACCAGGTGAGTCAATGAGAAAGAGGAGCTCATCTTTGAACATCACCATGGAAATCTCTTTTTACATTATCACATTTAAAGCTGGCTGACTATAGAAAAGATCAGAAATTCAGAAAATAGAATAAACCATCATCAAATACATCCTTAATCATTTTAATAACATCTTGGCAATAAGGGAGCTACTTTAGAATCTATAAAAGGCCAACGTGCTACTTTTCCTCAGTGACATTTGCCTGTTATCTTTTGAAGCAATCTGTAAACATCTGACACTAATAGAGTTTTTTAAAAAATGAAATATCCATTCTAGGTCCTATAATTTTTAATGGTTCATCACATTTTTATGCATTTAATTTCTCTGTGGTAAAGTGTTTAAAATGTTTTTTGTTAATGTCTATTTCAGCTTTTATTTTTGCCTAAAAATAACACTGTTTATAATAATTTAGGGAAATATAGACATGGGTTTTGTATTACTTATATTAATTGTTCTATGAAAATATTTTAAAGGTAACATAATATTTGTGACATTTAACTTTAGAACTTGACGTAATATCTTGTTACTGTTAATAAGTCACCTGAAGATGGTTTATTCACTCATTTTTTGTTAAATGAAAAATAATTATGTGAGAAGAATACAAATAAGCTCTGAGAAAGATATATAAAACACTTGAATTTGTTGAAACTACAGGTATTTGGGAGAACAAAGTTAGATTTTTGCTTTAGCAATTGATAAAATAGTAATGATTTAAAAAAGCATAATTACATCCATCAGACCAATCTGTCATTATTATTACAATTTCTAATTGATGACCTCAGTATTGTCTTTGACTGGCTAAGAGGATAAAGCAACTGAATGCTCTGTGTGTGTGTGTGTGTGTGTGTGTGTGTGTGTGTGTGTGTAACTTGTAATATATATTTATATATGCCCCCCCATCCCAGAATACTTGAAGAACCCTTTTTGGCTCCACTCCAGCCACTTTCTTCTAACACACCTATATGGGCCTGTCGTCTTAGGAGCTGTGAGGTGAGTTAAAAAATAATCCTTATGTAGATTCACTTAGTTGATTATAACTACAATTCATCCCAAAATGTCCACTTTTGAGTACAACTAATAGAAGCTGTATCTGTAATATTTTGTTCATGTTTGTGCTAACTCTTTTATTCCTTAGAGCTTGTAAGCTCTGTTAAAGCAGAGATCTTATAAATCCCTTCACACTTCACTGTCATTTCATTTCTTCTCTTACAGCTCTTTTCCCTTGTCTTCCATAAAACTTCACTATCATGTCTCTCTACTTTTTATCCTTTAATCATTCCTTCTCTTTCTTTGCTTGGCATTTATTTCTTTTCATATTCTCAGCAGCAATTCTTCAAGAGTCATCATTTGACCTTGTCTTATTTCTCTACATTTTATCCCTTGTAGAGCTTAACAGCTTTGTTGACTTTCAATTCTCAGTTTTATAAAAATGATTCCCACATCTCTATCACCAGTTCTTTAATTCTGCCCTTGCTTTTGTCCCAGATCTCTAGCTACTTACTTGAAGCTTTAGATTTCACCTCAAATTCACCATATCTAAAGAGAAATTATCTGCCATACCACAACTAGCTCTACTTCCTAAATTCCTTGTCTATGTAATAACAAATACCATCTCCTTAGGTACAAAGTTTTAGACTAATTTCTTCCTTTCCCATATTCAGATAGTCACCTGATTCTTTTTGTTTTTTTCTTTAAAGTGGTTTAAAGGGAGCTTTTCCCACAGACCTTTGTTATCTTGAACTCAATTATGGTAACAGCCTTCCCATTAATCTCTTTGACTTTTCCATTTCTAGTCCTTACTGTGTGGTTTTCTAAAACTACTTATTTTTAAATATTACTTTCATTGTCTTTTCTCACTGCCCAATAAGCTCAGTGTTATTTTTCCACATCATTTAGCCACTTGTTACTAGCTTTCAAGGTCTTCTATAATCAGGTATCACCTTATCTTATCCTTTTTTATTTCCTGCTTTTCTCCAATTCATCTTTCATTCGTGTTAGCCAAGTATTCCTACTTGGTACACACACTTCAGAATCTTCCTTTATCTCCTCCTTCACTTGTGTTTATTTCCATTTCCTAATATGTTATTTTTTCTTCTACTTACCTTTCTAACTACTATTCTTCAAATCCCAATGCAAGTCCTATATGTCTTTTCTGTAATAGTCTAATGATTACTTTATCTTTTACCTATTTATCTCTTAAAATTTTATTTATTTATTTATTTGGTTGTGCCAGCTCTTAGTTGTGGCAGGCAGGCTCCTTAGTTGCACCTCACGGGCTCCTTAGTTGTGACATGCGAACTCCTAGTTGCAGCATGCATGTGAGATCTAGTTCCCTAACCAGGGATCGAACCTGGGGCCCCCTGCATTGGGAGTGTGGAGTCTTATCCACTGTGCCACTGGGGAAGTCCTTATTTATCTCTTAAAATTCTTTGATAATTATTACCATTACCATCTTAATTATTTGCTAGCTTAGGTTGTTCACTATTATATACCTTTTAGACTATACACTTTTTGAGGAAAAGGACCATGCACTTCTACATATAAACCATATATGGTAATGCATATTTAATTATTAAAATGCTTCGTTGTTTTAAACAAATCTTAAAATATGGCAAGGAAAAACATTACTTGGGTTTTAATATTTTGAGAAAATTTCTAATCATGAAGTCTAATGATGTATTACATTTGTTAGGACATTATCACTGTTGTTGCTTTTCTAAGTGTTATGTACGTATGTTTGTATAGACAGTAAGATTTTTTTTCCCTTCACACTTTTTGTTAGTCGTAGTTTTTCACTGGTTTCCTAAAGGTACTATTCTTGTCGTTTGATGAGGGTTTTTAACATCATTATTAAAAACTTCATGAAATGCTATGGACATTAAAGCATTAGCAATTATGTGGCCAAATTACTTCATTTTACACCATGGTACATTGTGTAGCTAATCTAACATCATATATCTTGTAAGAAATTAGTTAAAACTGTCCAGCAGCTTGAATTATCTCAAAGATTGAAGGATTCTTTTTCTCCAAGCTATATCAATAGTGAAAAACATTTTTGGTTAATGGCTGAAGAAATATTTTCTGCATTTTGCTTAAAAGTATTGCTTAGTAGTCCTTTTTACTTTTTGAATTTCCATTTAAAGGTGTTTTTCTTATAGGCATTTTTTAGATTTGACCAAAATCTATTAGTTGGACAAATTTCAATACTGCATTAAACTTTTATCTCCTGATACGGGTCTGACTGCATTGTACTAATTCCGAATTTTTCCTTTCATTAACAACATTATATGCTGTATTCATTTTATTTGTATAAAAATGCTATAGCTAGACTTAATGTTCCTACTTTTATTTGTAGGGATATTTTGATGAGGAAATATCTAGGCTAGAAGAAAATTCATAAGCATAGGCAGTTTTGTTATTTTGGGGGGAAATTGCAGATAATGTATTGTTTGGAATCAGAATATCTCTTTTTATTATGGCTCAAAGTATACCTACAACAGTATGTTGATACCTTCCTTTTGTTAAATGTATTCTTGCCAGGTGAAATGTTTAGTCTAATTAGGAGGAAAAAGATCTCTATTCCACATCTCTGCTCTTATTCCCTATAAGGGAGAAACATACATGGAATCAATTCTAGGTCTAAATGCATTTCAGTTTAAGAGAGCACAGTTAAAAAATTTCTCTGGGTATAGAAAAAGCTTTTCTTCTAGTTGAGGGATACTCACAAGGTTGTGGATAGATAATATCAATTTATTTACATGATTTGTTTATACCTTGCCTTATTTCAGGAAGAATTTAAGACAGCTTACAAAAATACTTAAAAATATATTAGCAAGGTGGAAGTTAAAATTGGGAGCTAAAGAATAAAGAACAAGAATGGAACCATAAAATGGAAGTAAGAAATGTATATCTGAATAAGTGATAAGTGTGTGAATTTCTACATGCAGAAAATTGGAGATTCATACCGTGGCTACTGTGTAAGTGAGACTGAATTAGAAAGTGTCCTAACATTTCACAAGCAGCAAACACAGAGTGTTTGGGGGACCCGCCAATCTCCAAGCCCAGCCAAGCCAGCTACACGCTTGATGTGGAAATCCCAGTATGTCCCATATGATGGAATCCCATTTGTCAATGCAGGTACTTTTTTAAAGATTTATTTTAAAAAGTTCAGCAGCAAGCCATGATCTGTTGTGAAAATGTGGTTTTCCTAAGGTGATAACATTTTCATTTTGGTAGATGACAACTGACTGTTAATTGATGAAAATGCATATTAAAATAAAAAGAAAACTTATAGTAAATATAACCAATTATTTTATGTTGGAAAATTGTATTTTAGTATATTAGGGTAAATAAATAATACTTCATACTGAAAAATAGAAAGTAAAAAATATTTAAATTCCGGGTAGACCTATTTAATAAAAATCAAACCATAGAGCAGTTTTATTATTTTAAATATGTATAGCTGGTTGTTTTGTTTTTTTTTTCCATCCAATCCTGATAGTCTCTCCTCTCTTGATTTGTCTTTTGGGAAAAAAATTGGTGTCCATTTTATATAGTGTATAACTCAGGAGTTACTGTATAGAACTGGTATACAATCTGGAGTTATTATATAGAATTCTAATATTAGGGTTCTCAAGTATCAGGTATGTTACATACAGCATTCTCAAACACTGGGCTAGTGTTTACTAAAGCAGTAGAGTTTCAGACAATTTCCAGAGAGTCACCCTAGGACTAGTCAGACCCCAAAGAACCTAAGAATAAGTGATTTATTTGAGAAATATGGGGGCATTGATTCAACTAGAAGAGTTGCAGCCTCATCCTGGACCTCTGAGGGTAAAGAGAACTACTTAGAGGAAGCTGAGATAAATGTAACCCTTCTGCCCAGGTTTTATTCTCCTCCCCAGTTTAAATCCCTTCTTAACTCCCCTCAGGCAGCTACTACATGAATTTGGTGTGTATTTTTATACTTTATCATACATGTTTGTGTTTATAATAATATATTTTATTGTTTTGAACATTTTAAAGTATATGTAAGTAATCAACTATAGATATTCTTAGGTAAACTTTTCACTCATTCTTATTTTTGAAATCTATCCATATTGATAACTATAAATTCTAGTTAACCCAATTTAATTATTATATAATTTAACATTATATAATAATCTATTACTTAAATTTGCTTATTCCAGCGTATGACCAAACTGCAGTTATTTTTCTATTAATGATCATTTAGGTTGTTTTCAATTTTTCAATATTACAAAGAATTCTATGGTCTAACCTCCATGATACATGTTTTCTTTTGGAAAGTTGTAAGTAGTTTACTAGAGTGTGTGCATTAAAGTGGAATTACTTTACAAGATTATCTCAAGTTGCTCTCTAAGGTGGTGTTCAGGTCCAAAATCTCTAAACTTTTTTTTCCCAAATGTATTTCAGAATTCTGTATTTTTGGACTATAATATGGTAATATTACAGAATACTCCTAGCAAGTATTCTATAGACAATATCACATAATCAAACTTAGTAATTCATTATGCATAGCCACACTAAAAGGAATAAAGACTATAAATAGCCTCATAAAGTTCAGGTCAGGTTTTGCAGCCAAATGTATTCCAAAAAATTTTGTTTTCCATGCTTTTTAAATATGAGAATCATATGTGAGGGATTGACAACCTGTTTCAATTTTTAGTCCTTTGAGCAATGTATGAAAATTTCCCTTTCCCACATTCATTCTATGATTTGACATTGTCAGATTTTAAAAAATCTTTATGCTACGGGAATTTTCATATGCATATCAAAGTAGAGGTAATAATGTATGAAATCTCATAACTCCGTGTATGCATCATCCAGCTTCAACAAGTATCAGCATGTGGTCAATCTTGTGTCATTTATACCCCTACCCACTTCTTCAGGAAATTCCAGATATCATTTCATCTATAATTACTGAAGATGATTTTACAGGAAATTCCAGATATTGTTTCATCAATAATTACTAAAGTATATAAGGTATTTAAGGTATTAAAGTATATATCTGAAATATAAGGATATCCCATTATACCACTTTAAAAATTTAACAGTAAGTTTTTTTTTTAATGTTTTAATTTTTAATTTTTTGGCCACGCTGCATGGCATGTGGGATCTTAGTTCCCCAACGCCCCCTGCAGTGGAAGCGTGGAGTCTTAACCACTGGACCACCAAAGAAGTCTGAACAGTAATTTCCTAATATCATAACTTGTCCATTGTTCACATTTCTCCACTTACCATAATTCTTTTTGCAGAGGTTTGTATAAATTCACATGCAAACCAAGTTTATGGATCAAATTTGGTTAAGTTACCAAGTTTATGGATCAAATTTGGTTAAGTTTCTTCTCATCTAAAAATTTCTCTCCTCTTTTCCCCCAGGTAGTTTGTCCTGTACACTTTGCCATATTCAGGATTTTGCCGATTCTATCTCTGGTGTTTTTTAACATGTTCTTTTATCTCCTGTATTTCCTGTAATCTGTTAGATGTATGAGTTTGATTAAATGAAGATTTAATCTTGATTAAAGTATTTTGCAAGAATACTTCATAGGTGTGCTGTGTACTTCTTATCACTACCTATGTAGCATTTTTAACTGTAAGATTGATCAGTGGCTTCAGTTGTTTTAGAGTATTGTCAAATTTTTTTATGTTTACCAATTTGAAGAGTGTGAGAGAGTATCTTACTATTGTTTTATTTTTTTAAATGAATTAATTAATTTTTGGCTGTGTTGAGTCTTCGTTGCTGCACATGGGCTTTCTGTAGTTGCGGCGAGTGGGGGCTACTCTTCGTTGTGGTGTGTGGGCTTCTCATTGTGGTGGCTTCTCTTGTTGCGGAGCACGGGCTCTAGGCATGCGGGCTTCAGTAGTTGTGGCAACGCGGGCTCAGTAGTTGTGGTTTGTGGGCTCTAGAGTGCAGGCTCAGTAGTTGTGGCGCACGGGCTTAGTTGCTCCGCGGCTTGTGGGATCTTCTCGGACCAGGACTTGAACCCGTGTCTGCTGCATTGGCAGGTGGACTCTTAACCAGTGTGCCACCAGTGAAGTCCTTAGTATTGTTTCAATTTGCATTTCCCTGTTTACTAGTGAAGTTGAGCGTCTTTTTATTGTTTATTTAATATCCTTTTGTTTCCTTTCTGAATCGCCTATTCATAGTCTTTGCGCATTTTTCTGTTTGGTAGTTAGTTTTTATTTTTAAATTATTTATGGTTCTTTATATTCTGCATACTAATTCTTTGTTTTATGTATTATAAAATACTGTTTCTCAAACTGTGATTTTCCTTTTACCATCATTTAGAAGAAGTTAGTTATCAGCCTTATCAACATTTTTATTCATGATTGGTGTTTTTCGGGGTTTTTTAAAATATATATTTATTTATTTGGCTGCATTGGGTCTTAGTTGTGGCACGCGGGATCTTTCTTGCGGCATGCGGGATCTTCGTTGTGGCACGTGGGCTTCTCTCTAGTTATGCCGTGCAGGCTCTAGAGCATGTAGGCTCAGTGGTTGCGGCTTGTGGGTGCTCTGGTTGTGACGTGTGGGCTCTAGAGCACGTGGGCTCTGTCGTTGCTTGCCCTGCAACATGTGGGATCTTAGTTCCCCAACCAGTGATCAAACCTGTGTCCTCTGCATTGGAAGGCAGATTCTATCACTGGGCCATCAGGGAAGTCCCTGGGGTTTTGGGTTTTATATTTGAAAAGTTTGCTGTACCCTACATAGATTAGGATATCCAACTTAAAATCCTAAATTGTATAGTTTTCACATCTGCTTATTTGTGTTATCTATGGTACTGTAACAAATTACCCCAAATATGGTGGTTGAAAACAACAAACATTTATTATCTCACAGTTTCTATGGGTCAGGAATCCAAGAGCAGCTTAACAAGGTGGTTCTGCCCCAGGTTCTCTCACAAGACTGCAATTAAGATGTTGGCTGGATCTGCGGTCGTCTCAGGACTTGACTGGGGGAGGATCTGCTTCCATGCTCACTCATGTGGCTGTTGGCAGGCCTTATTCCTTGCCAGGTGGGCCTCTTCACAGAGCTGTCTCACCACATGATACCTGATTTCACCAGGAGAGAGCAATCCAAGCAAGAGCAAGAAAATATCCAAGATGGAAGTCACAGTCTTTTTATAACCTAATATCAAAAATAACATCCTGTCACTTCTGCCATGTTCAGTAGAAGTAAGTTAGTAAGTCTAGCTCATGCTCAAGGGGAGGGGATTACCAAGGACATGAGTACTAAGAGGCAGAAATCATTGGGAGCCATCTTAGAGGCTGGTAATCACATTATTCTAACAGCTCAAATAGAAATAAGGAAATAAGTAATTATAAAAGGAAATAAAATTTTATATGATATTAATATTTACTAACAAATGTAGCATTTGCTAATTTCCACTTATAAAGTAAATTTTATTATTAAAAACCATACATATGTAAATACCGGTTGACAGTCAGTAAATGTGGTATTTGCTAATTTCCTTACCATAATGGGGTACATTTGGTAACTATTACAATAAAGTTTTAAATTTATGTGTTTGTACATCTTAGTAAGTCTTACTGATGTTTTCTTAAGGTTGTATAATGGGAAGTATAGATTTTGTCATTGCCACCACCAAGTTATTTTTAATCTAGTGTCCAGAACAGATGGATACTTGAATTAAATATCAATAGTTGGTTTTGGCCCACAGGGAGTAGAGCTGTGGTAATGGAGTGTCAGTATGGGCCAAGAAGAAAAGGTTTCCAGTTAAAAAAAATCAGTGAGCAGGAAAGCAGGTCTTGTCAGCTCTACAAAGCTACTTGTCCAGCCCGGTAAGCTTTATTTTCTTTTATTTCTTTTTTATTAAGTACTTATTTCTGAATAGCTAATATGCACATTTTTATTAAGTTTAAGCAGTGCCAAAAGCGTACAGTGAAATCTGTTTCCTCTTACCCCTGCTTCCTATGTCCCACTTTAAGGCAACAACTCTTACCAGTTTCTTGAGTAACATTGCAAAGATATTCTGTGTATATGCATATAGGTATATACTCTACCGTCATAAATGTTGAAGATCTCAGTAAAGATTACTAATATTTTCTTTCCTTAAGTTTGGGTAGTAGCATACCTTCTTTCCGGCTATGAATTCACATTGATACATTTCCATTCTGAATGCCTATTGTAGTTATTTGCTGCACAGCTATTATGCTTCATACTAGTGTGAATGTAGAGATATATACTACTCTACATTAAAAAAAATTTTTTTGAAGTATAGTTGATTTACAATGTTGTGTTAATTTCTGCTGTACAGCAAAGTGATTCAGTTACACGTATAAATATTCTTCTTCATATTCTTTTCCATTATGGTTTATCACAGGATATTGATATAGTTCCCTGTGCTATACAGTAGGACCTTGTTTTACTCTATTTTTTTTCATTCTCAGTATATCTCAAAGTTGGCTCCATGTCTATATTTTTTTTTTTTTTTTTTGGGGTACGCGGGCCTCTCACTGTTGTGGCCCCTCCCGTTGTGGAGCACAGGCTCCGACGCGCAGGCTCAGCGGCCATGGCTCACGGGCCCAGCCGCTCCGCGGCATGTGGGATCTTCCCGGACCAGGGCACGAACCTGTGTCCCCTGCATCGGCAGGCGGACTCGCAACCACTGCGCCACCAGGGAAGCTCTCCATGTCTATATTTAAATGAACCGATTACTTCTTTTTATTGATTGATCAACTGATTTTAAAAAGTGAGATAAAATTGACATATAAATTATGTTATTTTCATGGTTCCTTTTTAATAGCTATATAATATTCCATTTATAGATGAATTATCATTTACTTAATTAGTCCTCCAACAATGGACATGTAGGCTCTGGAAAATATTCTTTATTATTTTATACAAAGCTTCAGCTAATAACATTGTACCTATTTGTACACTTGTGTAAGTATATTGATGGAATAAATTCCTTGAAATGAAATTGCTAGGGCAAGTGTTGTATTCTTTTTAAATGTCGACAGGTGTTGCAGAGTTGCTTTGTTGAGTGATTTTACCAATTATATTCATACCAGCAATGTAGGAGACCAACAGAGTAAGTTTTAGGTAGAATAGGACTACTGAGTAGTCATTGCTGTGGCTGAGAATGAAAAATGTGCACCAATAAAAGATTTTTGTAATATTCTTTACTAATATTCTTTTTTCACACATTGAAAGTGTTTTAAATCATAAGATAAAAATTTTAAATAACTCGTGAATGTTGGATTCAGTTGAGCTTTGAAACATTTTATTTTAGCATTACATCTCATATCACAAACCCCAGCATTCTCAAGAAGTTTTTAAAGCCAGTTAAGAAGACTTTTCATGTTTAATCTGATAATGATAACTTTAGACAATATTTAAACCTGACCATTAAACAAAACTTTGCTTTTAAATATAAGCAGTGTAGACCATTAAACAAAACATTGCATTTAAATATGAGCAATGTAGAACTTTAGATATAACTTGGGAGAAAATCTCTATATGTGAAGAGATAATTTTATTCTCTATCATTCTATAAGTACTTTTTTGAGTATCTGCTCTGTGCTCAGCAGCAACATTGGGTGCCATGGGAAGGAGGGGAGACTAAAAGAGGTATATGATTTTACTTAATCATGGGAAACTTAAAATATTGTTGGGGTAGATCAGGAAGCAACAAACTATAAGAGAACATAATAGTATTGTATATAATGTTAAATGTGTGGATTAGCTAACTGTCTTCAGAGAAGGAATATATCCTAGCAAACTCATTAACAGGAAAGAAAATGGAACTTAACCTGGATACTGAAGTTTAGATTGAATTTGATAGGTAGAGAATTAGAAGGAAGATATGGTAGGGTAGGAGAATGATATAAAGAAAGATATAGCATGATTGTGTATTTGGTATCAGAGGAGGAAGGAACATTGAGATGATAAACTTCACAGGAAAAGCAATTTTATATTTGAAGTGATGAAAAGATGGGTAAATAAATTAGAATCATATAGAACGCCTTGAATGCTTCTAAGAAATTTGTGCTTGATTAAAGAACAGATAGATTCTTCAACAGAGAAGTACAAATGCAAAGAATTATTGTGGCATTGATATATCTAGTGGATTTAAGAAATGGAAGGCTGGAGGCCTAGAGGCTCCAGAAGGTGGGTAGTAAAGTAATCCAGGTGTGAGGTGTTTACAGCTTCAGGGAGAATGGAGAAGAAACAGATCCAGAAAAAAAAAGTTAATATTCAAAATATTTAGACATTTTTACTAAAGTAATGATTATTAACTTGCTGAGTATTATACACTGAAAATATGGCATATCTTTCACATAATTATCTGAATGCTTTCTAGATTAATCGAATTTTCTCTAAACTTTGCTAAACTAATGCTAAAGTAAACTTGTGGTTGATAAGTTAGTCATAAGATTATAGTATAATGAAAAAAATTCTTCTTTTTCTTATAAAAAGGATTTACATTAAAAAGGTACAGAAATTTCCTGAATATAGAGTTCCTACAGACCCCAAAATCGACAGGAAAATAATCCGAATGGAGCAGGAAAAAGCCTTTAACATGCTAAAGAAGAACTTGGTAGATGCTGGTGGTGTTCTTAGGTATGACATTTATATTGTTCTTTTATTTTACAAATTACTTCCCTCCATTTGGAAGAATTCTGTAATAAGAGAAATTATATTATGTTTTCCAATTATTTCATTAAGAAATGGTTTTTATAAGGTAGATAGATGTCTTATTAGTTGCTCCCTAGGTATTAAAATGATTTACCACTGTATAAGCCATTGAGTTTATCGTCCAAATGTGGATAATTTTAACCAAAGAATTCTTTATACCATGTGGAAGTTTTTTCCCCAAATGATAAATACATATTTAGCAACACATTTTATTATATATTTAGTATGTTTTTTCAGATACTTATTAGGAACTGAACTTGCAGTCACCTACATATATTTTTTAAACCCATCTTTGATTACTTATGGCAGCCAGATATGAATTCTAAGCCCTATATAAAATTCCATTTTATATCTTTTATGTTTCAGGTTTTAAATAAGAAATATTAGCTTTCTTTCTTACTTTCCTTTATGTGCTGGTCCAGGTGAAGAATTTATAAGGGGGTTAAGTGTATGGAATATAGTTTTTAATGTGATCTTTAGAAAAAGTTTCAGATATATGAAAAATAAATACAATCAATAATTAGACTCTTCAGTTTGGAGAACATTTTGTATAATTTTTAAGTAGGCTCCGTTTCATGCAATATCAGACAGTGCAAGCATTTTGTATAAAGGTATTTATTAAAACTGTATCCTATCAGATCAGTTCATTTTCCTAGAATCTGTTTTACTGCATGGCTGTAAGAAATCTGTGTTCACCTTTTAGTTGATTCTCTTGCTCATTGGGGCAAAAGGAGCTGGAGTGCTATGGGGGCAGTATGTTGAGTTCCTGTCTGAGAAGATTCCCTCACATAGCTCAATCTTCGTAGGCACTAAATTATATCCACTCTTTGGTTAGGAGGATTATACGTACAACACAGAAGATGTAATTTGGGAACAAAATGGTAGAAGAATGGGAAAATACACAATTCAAAAGATGATTTTAAAATCTCATTATTCTGAGGTAAAATTTACTTAATATGAAATTTTAAATACCATTTTCATGTATACCTAAATCTTGCACCCTCCTTAACTTTAAGGACATAGTAAAAGTCTATAAAGGTTTATAAAGATTTTTATTCAATTGGGTATAAAGCCTATCTTAGAAGACTTAAGACAGAACATTTTAACTTTTATTTATATTTATTTTATTTTTATTTAATTTACTTAAAAATTTTAAATTTATATTTATTTAATATCATATAATCATATAATTTTTCTTAAACGATGATTCCTTCTCCTGATGAGTATTAACGTAAGTAACTATGATTGTTGCTTTTATTTTTTAAAATTTATTTATTTTTGGCTATGTTGGGTCTTCGTTTCTGTGCGAGGGCTTTCTCTAGTTGTGGCAAGCGGAGGCCACTCTTCATCGCGGTGCGTGGGCCTCTCACTATCGCGGCCTCTCTTGTTGTGGAGCACAGGCTCCAGATGCGCAGGCTGAGTAGTTGTGGCTCACGGGCTTAGTTGCTCCGCGGCAATGTGGGATCTTCCCAGACCAGGGCTCGAACCCATGTCCCCTGCATTGGCAGGCAGATTCTCAACCACTACACCACCAGGGAAGCCCTGATTCTTGCCTTTGTCTAGTAATATAATTTTAAGTATTTTTTCTTGTCAGGTGGTATGTACAGTTACCTACTCAGCAAGCTCATCAGTATCACGAATTAGAGACTCCCTGCCTCCCTTTATCACCTTCCCCTTTTCCTATGTCTTCTCTTGAAGAAGAGGAAACTGCAGTTAGAGATGAGAACTGTACATTACCCTCACGTCTACATCCTCAAGTAGCACATAAAATTCAAGAATTAGTATCACAGGGAATACAACAAGTGTATGCAGTAAGGAAACAGCTAAGGTACAGTAGAAACAAATTGTTCTTTTTCATTTTTCATTTCTGTTTGTTGGTTTAAATAATGCACTTAATATTATAGACATGTTCCAGGATATAGGCTATCAGAGTAGATAAGGAATATAGTTTATTAATTTATTAAAATAATCTTATTTATGAACTGATCATTTTTCTGCAGATGCTTGGCAAGCCATAAGTAATGATTCGAATTACTCATTTGAGATATTCCATATTCATATTTGGCAAATTGGACTATTTCTAAATGATATATACATTGAACTATGTACTAAATACCTTTACAGAAAAAAAATTTGTAGAAAAGATTTTAAAACGTGGGCCAAGATACTTGTTTTAACCTATTTGAAATGCAATTAAATTTTATTACAACAAAAGAATGTGGATAGTTTTTTTGTTTAATGAAATTTTATAGATAGTACTCTGGTCTAATTTTATTGATACTTAGGATATAATAATAATTATTATGTGGCACTTAGTATGTATGTGCCAGCTATTGTGCTAAGCACTTATAGGTATGATCTCATTTATTCTTATGACTCATGAAGTTTGTGTATTTATCCTCGTTCTGCAGATGAGGAAATGGGGACTCAGGGTGGTTAAAGATATACAGGCAGAACTGAAATCTAGGTCTGACTACAGCCTGTGCTCTCCAGCATGATTTCTGCTACTTAACTGACCTTATTCCTTCTGGTTATTGTGTAGTCTGATCTGAACAACACAATGAGTATTTCCCAGGATTATTTCCTAATTAATACATGACTTTTCTATTTAGCAGCTTTCTTAGACATTTTATGTTTATTTCCATTGGGGCATTCTTAGAACAGAGCCAGAGTTTGGTAAGCCATCCACTATTTTACTAAACCTATATTATAAAAACAGAGGTATAATACAGCTCTTCAATGTGGTCTACTGAATGTAATGCACAAAGAATATATATATTGAATTTATCATTTCTTTTATATCTTTATTTTTTATAACCATAGTATGGCAATGCTGCCTTTTATTTCTATCTTCTCATTTGTCTACTTGTAAAATTTGAGCAGACATATTTCATATATTAATTGATGACTTTTGAAAGCAATGAAACATGGTGTTTATATGTATAACTTTGGTATAGGCCCAGTCTCTCTTACTTACTAGCTAGGTGTTTAACTTTGGGAAAATGATTGGGTTGGCCAAAAAGTTAATTCGGATTTTTCCCTAACAGCTTATGAAAACCCGAACGAACTTTTTGGCCAATGTAATACTTAACTTCTGTAGCCCTCAGTTCTCTCATCTGTAAAGTGGGAATGATAATTATACCTACCTCACAGGATTATAGTGTGGGTTAAAGGAGATACTAGATGTGAAGTGTTCAGTGCAGTGCCTGGCATTCAAAAACATATTTAAATTGAAAATAGTGATTTTGTTAAATTCATAAAAATATCAAAGCTCATTCTAAGATATATAGGTGTTTAACCAATGAAAATATTACATTTCTTTAATCTGCGTGAATTCCATGACTTAATGTATGGGAAAAAAGTGGAAAAATATAAATTACTTATAAAGCTGTAAATCATACTTAGAAGTTTATACTAAAAGAGAACCTTTGTCATTTGATCTGAATTGATTGCTAGATTGTTTATGTTTTTATTCTATTTTATATTCTCCATAGAAAATTTGTGGAAAGGGAACTGTTCAAACCTGATGAGGTACCTGAAAGACATAATTTATCCTTTTTTCCAACTGTAAATGCTATAAAAAATCACATCCATGAGGTACAGAAATCCTTGAGAAATGGAGATAATGTATATAACTCAGAGATTATTCCAGCAACGGTATGGTTACAACTGTAATTCCTTATTTTATTAAAACAATCTTTCTCAGCTGATGCATGATTGCTATTAGACCATATAAGTAACTGTGATGTAAGGAAAAACGGTAGTATCTTTTTCTCAAAATGTGAACACTATGAACTCTCAGATAATGATTTGATTAAAATATTTTTTATTACTCTCACAAGAAGAAATATCAGCGAATTTCCAACTCTGACTATAATAACAATAGTAATCTTCACTTAAAAATCAACACATATTATCTCTGTAAAAAGTATATCTTATTCATTTAACAGATATTTATTGAGTACATACTGTGTATATCTCCACCTCTTTTTAAAATTTCAATAGAAGCAAGTTTAAATAGAATAGTTCAGAGTTGAATACACAAAGTGACGATGTTGGTTCTATATGCCGTCTATGGATATAAAGTTTACCTCACACTGTGATACTGTAGCTTTCTCCAGAAAAGTGGCCATTTCTATGAAAATTTTGCCTGATCTGAAGAGATTAATGTAGTTACCCAGGAGCTGCTAATTGTAAAACAAGCAGTGATTTTGGCATTAAAATCTCAAGTAGCAGTATTCTTTTCTCTATACATTTTTACTCTCTAAATTCAGTAACTGAATAGATTGAGATTTTTTTAAGGGAGAGCTACTATTCTTTTCTGTCCAAAACTCTTAGTTATTCACTATCCAAAGTTCAGGAACTAAAACAGATTTGGTTAGCAGTAGTCTTTGCCATCTACACTTGCTATCCAAATTCTTGCTATCTGACCTTAGGAAGCTAATTTATTTGCATAGTTAAATATACTTAATACTTTGAGAATGTGAACAAATAGAGTAGTTACAGAATAAAGCACATTTATACTATGACTGAATAAGATATGACAGTTGCATTGCTGTTTTAAAATAGTTTTCAAAATAAATGCTTTGTTCTTTTTACTGAAGTAAATGTTCCCATTTCAGCTTCAATGGACTACAGATAGTGGGAATATTCTCAGAGAGACTGTGACAGTTACACTTGCAGAAGGTAGGTTATCTTGAATACTTTTAAGATATAAAATCAAACAGTATTAAAATTGGAAGACATTTAAGATGTTATCTAATTTATCTCGTCTAATTTATGGATAAGGAAACCATGTCCCAAAGAGGCAAGAGCAACCATGTTAGGAGTTATCAAAATACTTCCAGCTATTTAAATTTCCTCCTATATAATCAGCTTTCCTTTTTTTTGGTATGGTTTTTTTGGTATGGTTTGTTTTTTCTCATATGTTCTTACTCCTTTGCTCTCTCAATACTCCACGCTTATTTCAACCCTTTTGTTCTCTCTTCTAGAAATGTCTTTGTCTAGAAATGTCTCTTCTAGAAATGTCTTTTCTCCTCTTCTGTATGGCGAACTCCTCTCATTACTCACATAGCAATCTCTTTGGCTTTAAATGCTCTCTTAACTTCACCCCCTATGTAAAGATGGATATTCACTCTTTTGTATTTCTCTCTGCATTTAACATGGTATCCTTTGTTTATGCATATGTATCTTTCATTATGATTTGAGAATCATATTTTATTCAAATTAATATACCTAGTTCTTAGCATAATGGCTTCTAAAAAGTTAACACTTAAATAGATGCTTTAGAATAAATTAATAATTATATACAGTACAATATTTTTTTATTCTTTGGCTTATTAACCTTTAAGAGTCACTTTGCCTATAAAATAACTCAAAAATGCAGATGACATGATACTATACATAGAGAATCCTAAAGATGCTACCAGAAAACTACTAGAGCGAATCGATGAATTTGGTAAAGTAGCAGGATACAAAATTAATGCACAGAAATCTCTGGCACTCCTATACACTAATGATGAAAAATCTGAAAGTGAAATTAAGAAAACACTCCCATTTACCATTGCAACAAAAAGAATAAAATATCTAGGAATAAACCTACCTAAGGAGACAAAAGACCTGTATGCAGAAAATTATGAGACACTGATGAAAGAAATTAAAGATGTTACAAACAGATGGAGAGATATACCATGTTCTTGGATTGGAAGAATCAACATTGTGAAAATGACTCTACTACCCAAAGCAATCTACAGATTCAATGCAATCCCTATCAAACAACCACTGGCATTTTTCACAGAAATAGAACAAAAAATTTCACAATTTGTGTAGAAACACAAAAGACCCCAAATAGCCAAAGCAATTTTGAGAACGAAAAATGGAGCTGGAGGAATCAGGCTCCCTGACTTCAGACTATACTACAAAGCTACAGTAATGAAGACAGTATGGTACTGGCACAAAAACAGAAATAGAGATTAATGGAACAGGATAGAAAGCCCAGAGATAAACCCACGCACATATGGTCACCTTATCTTTGATAAAGGAGGCAGGAATGTACAGTGGAGAAAGGGCAGGCTCTTCAATAAGTGGTGCTGGGAAAACTGGACAGGTATATGTAAAAGTATGAGATTAGAACACTCCCTAAGCCCATACACAAAAATAAACTCCAAATGGATTAAAGACCTAAATGTAAGGCCAGAAACTATCAAACTCTTAGAGGAAAACATAGGCAGAACACTCTATGACATAAATCACAGCAAGATCCTTCTTGACCCATCTCCTAGAGTAATGGAGATAAAAACAAAAATAAACAAATGGGACCTAATGAAACTTCAAAGCTTTTGCACAGCAAAGGAAACCATAAACAAGACCAAAAGACAGCCCTCAGAATGGGAGAAAATATTTGCAAATGAATCAACTGACAAAGGATTAATCTCTAAAATTTACAGGCAGCTCATGCAGCTCAATAACAAAAAAATAAACAACCCAATCCAAAAATGGGCAGAAGACCTAAATAGACATTTCTCCAAAGAAGATATACAGACTGCCAACAAACACATGAAAGAATGCTCAACATCATTAATCATTAGAGAAATGCAAATCAAAACTACAATGAGATATCATCTCACACCAGTCAGAATGGCCATCATCAAAAAATCTAGAAACAATAAATGCTGGAGAGGGTGTGGAGAAAAGGGAACACTCTTGCACTGCTGGTGGGAATGTGAATTGGTTCAGCCACTATGGAGAACAGTATGGAGGTTCCTTAAAAAACTACAAATAGAACTACCATAGGACCCAGCAATCCCACTACTGGGCATATACCCTGAGAAAACCATAATTCAAAAAGAGTCATGTACCAAAATGTTCATTGCAGCTCTATTTACAGTAGCCAGGAGACGGAAGCAACCTAAATGTCCATTGTCGCATGAATGGATAAAGAAGATGTGGCACATATATACAATGGAATACTACTCAGCCATAAAAAGAAACAAAATTGAGTTATTTGTAGTGAGGTGGATGGACCTAGAGTCTGTCATACAGAGTGAAGTAAGTCAGAAAGAGAAAGACAAACACCATATGCTAACACATATATATGGAATCTAAGAAAAAAAAAAAGTCATGAAAAACCTAGGGGTAAGATGGGAATAAAGACACAGACCTACTAGAGAATGGACTTGAGGATATGGGAAGGGGGAAGGGTAAGTTGTGACAAAGTGAGAGAGTGACATGGACATATATACACTAAACGTAAAATAGATAGCTAGTGGGAAGCAGCTGCATAGCACAGGGAGATCAGCTCGGTGCTTTGTGACGACCTTCAGGGGTGGGATAGGGAGGGCATGAGGGAGGGAGATGCAAGAGGGAAGGGGTATGGGAACATATGTATATGTATAACTGATTCACTTTGTTATAAAGCAGAAAGTAACACACCATTGTAAAGCAATTATACTCCAATAAAGGTGTTAAAAAAAAGAATTTTTTGTAACTTACCTTTTAATATAAATAAGGAATTCCCTCCTCAGTTCCATTTTTTTAACATTTAATATGTAATTAATTTAAGTCATAGTACCTTCACCAGTAACATAAAAAAAATAATAAACGGGCACAAGCTGCAGCTAGAAGCACGGACCTCAGAGACGGGCGCGAGCCAGGGGGGGCAGGGGGCCGCGGCTGGAAGCGTGGACCCCAGAGACGGGAAGGAGACGCTGGGGCTGCTGCTGCCGCCACCGGGGGGGCCTGTGTGCGAGCACAGGTCAGTATCCAAGCCCCTCTTCCGGGGAGCCTGTGCGGCCTGCCACTGCCGGGTTCCCGGGACCCAGGGACAGCTTCCCAGGGAGGACGCACGGCGGGCCTCAGGCTGGTGCAACGTCATGCTGGCCTCTGCCGCCGCAGGCCCGCCCCGCACGCCGTGCCCCTCCCTTCCCCCGGCCTGAGTGCACCAGAGCCCCCGAGTCAGCAGCTCCTTTAACCCCGTCCTGTCTGAGCAAAAAACAGACGCCCTCCAGCGACCTACATGCAGAGGCAGGGCCAAATCCAAAGCTGAGCCCCTGGGAGCTGTGAGAACAAAGAAGAGAAAGGGAAATCTCTCCCAGCAGCCTCAGAAACAGTGGATTAAAGCTCCACAAGCAACTTGATGTACCCTGCATCTGTGGAATACATGAATAAACAGCGAATCATCCCAAATTAAGGAGGTGGACTTGGAGAGCAAGATCTGATTTTTTCCCCCTTTTTCTCTTTTTGTGAACGTTTATGTGTATGCTTCTGTGTGAGATCTTGTCTGTATAGCTTTGCTTGCACCATTTGTCCTAGGGTTCTATCTGTCCATTGTTTTTTTAATTTTTAATTATTTTTCTTAATAATTAATTTTAATTTTAATAATTCTATTATACTTTACCTTCTTTCTTTCTTTCTTTCTTTCCTTCCTTCCTTCCCTCCTTTAGACAACGAATCATCCCAAATTGAGGAGGTAATACTTTACCTTCTTTCTATCTTTCCTTCCTTCCTTCCCTCCTTTAGACAACGAATCATCCCAAATTGAGGAGGTGGACTTTGAGAGCAAGATATATGATTTTTTCCCCTTTACCTCTTTTTGTGAGGGTGTATGTGTATGCTTCTGCGTAAGATTTTGTCTGTATAGCTTTGCTTCCACCATTTGTCCTAAGGTTCTATCCGTCCCTTTTTTTTTTCTAAATAATTATTTTTTAATTCAATAACTTTATTATACTTTATTTTACTGTATCTTCTTTCTGTCTTTTTTCCTTCCTTCCCTCCTCCTTCCTTCCTTCCTCCCTCCCTCGCTCCCTCCTTTCCTTCTTGCCTTCTTTCCTTTTCTTCTTTCTTTCTTTCTTCCTTCCCTCCTTCCTTCCTTCCTTCCCTCCTTCCCTCCTTTCTTTCTTTCTTTCTTCCTACTTCTACTAATTCTCTTTACTTTCTCTCCCTTTTATTCTGAGCCGTGTGGATGAAAGGCTCTTACTGCTCCAGCCAGGAGTCAGGACTCTGCCTCTGAGGTGGGAGAGCCAACTTCAGGACACTGGTCAACAAGAGACCTCCCAGCTCCACATAATATCAAACGGTGATAATCTCCCAGAGACCTCCATCTTAACACCAGCACCCAGCTTCACTCAACGACCAGCAAGCTACAGTGCTGGACCCCCTATGCCAAACAACTAGCAAGACAGGAACACAACCCCACCCATTAGCAGAGAGGCTGCCTAAAATCATAATAAGTCCACAGACACCCCAAAACACACCACCAGACGTGGACCTGCCCACTAGAGAGGTAAGATTCAGCCTCATCCACCACAACACAGGCACTAGTCCCCTCCACCAGGAAGCCTACACAACCCAATGAACCAACCTTAGCCACTGGAGACAGACATCAAAAACAACAGGAACTACGAACCTGCAGCCTGCAAAAAGGCGACCCCAAACACAGTAAGATAAGAAAAACGAGAAGACAGAAAAACACAGCAGATGAAGGAGCAAGATAAAAATGCACCAGACCTAACAAATGAAGAGGAAATAGGGAGTCTCCCTGAAAAAGAATTCAGAATAATGATAGTAAAGATGATCCAAAATCTTGGAAATAGAATAGACAAAATGCAAGAAACATTTAACAAGGACCTAGAAGAACTAAAGATGAAACAAACAACCATGAACAACACAATAAATTAAATTTAAAATAC